GGGTTTAAGAGTTTTTAAGAGTTTAAGAGTTTTAAGAGTTTTTAAGAGTTTTAGCCAAATGTTTTATAATATAGTATAGATATATATATAATTAATGTCTTCCTGTATTTCGTTTTCTCCGTTTAATTAATTGTTTTTTGGTTTTGGTAGAATTTCTGATGAAGGTGTAAACTGAAAATGTTTAGAATCTGGAGGGGCACTTCAACACATGAAACCAAAAATATGCTCTAAAATGAAATATATATACACACCTCTACCTCAAATAATAAATATGTCAATTTCAGGCTAAACCCTTAATTTCATTCCATGATACTAGTATTTGTTAAGTTATACCTTCAATTCTTCACCATTCTTTTCTCTCTCTCTATATATATATATATATATATATATATATTGCATTAATTAGTATCACAACAACAACAGCCTTCAGAAACAATATATAAATCTTCCTGCACCCAACCAAGAGCGGAGCTAGAAAATCAATATAAAAAATCCAATAGTTTTAATGTTCACAATATAATTATCCTTTTTGTAGATATGTGTTTTTCTTGTTAAATGTTTATCCACATGCACTAGTTAATAACATTCAAACAATTTACAGCTTTTACATAATTTTTGTATGTTATGTTAAACATAAATTATTCAACTTAACTAACTAAGGTTTAAGTATTAGATTTCTAGGAAACCAAATACAAAATAACTAACTCGATCCCCTCACTGCAACAAAATCAAGTTTATAGGAAATGAAAATTGTTTAAACGTCATACATGATAGACGTTATATGAATTAGGTTTATAAGATCAAACATGTACACGTGCCATATCTAAAGATGTTGTATTGACTTTATAAGACCCTTAATTAATAGGTTTTTAGAACACTCTTAAAATAAAATGTTCTATTATTTTTTTCATAAGAAACTTCTAAAAAGTACATTTTTATACGACATTTTTTTCAAATACTATATTGTAAAAGAGCTAATAAAAAATTATTTCAAAAGTATCCTATTTTTTTTTCTTTTTTAAGACTTTCAAAAGTATCATATAAACTTATTACAATAAATTTAAATATAACACATAAGTGTTTGATCATATATACTTAAATGTAGTCTTTATTGTAGTGCCTCAATATTTGACAAAATGTTAAAGAGTAAGAGTTTAATAGATTATTTTTATATAAATAATATTGGGTTTGGTGTAAAGTTTAGGGAGGTTTGGCACCAACTGCATCGATTCTATCTGCAACTGAACACAAAGAAAACCATAAAACCATAGTAATTTGACTACAACCCAATGCTAGTTTTTTTTTTTTTAAATTTTAGTAATTTTTACTTTAATGTTATTTTAAGAGAACAAATTTGAAGTCATTTTTAAAAATTAGCTCACCTGAACTCTAAAGTTTGTTTTTTCAGACATAGTTCATCCGAGCTCTGGAGTCTGAACTCTGAAATCTTTTTTTTTTATACTTAGAAGTCTGAACTCTGAAATCTTTTTTTTTATACTTAGAAGTCTTAACTCTGAAGTTTTCTTTTTTAGACTTAAAAGTCTGAACTTTGAAGTCTTTTTTTAGACTTAGAAAAAGAAGTCTTAAGTCTTCTTTTTCAGACTTAGAAGTCTGAACTCTGAAGTCTTCTACAGTTCTGAAGAGTCATTCTTTAAAGTTAGCTCACCCGAATTTTGAAGTCTTCTTTTTCAGATTTAACCCTGAGGTCTGAACTATAAAATCTATTTTTTCAGACTTAGAAATCTGAACTCTGATTTAATGGGATTGATTTTATACTTTAGAGTTATTTCAAGAGTACAGGTTTGAAGAATCATTCTTTAGAGTTATTTCCAGAGTACAAGTCTGAAGAGTCATTCTTCAGAATTAGCTCACCTGAACTTTGTGGTCTTCTTTTCCAGAATGTAAAACTAGCTATATCAACAAACCGGCTATAATCGACAGTTTCCTTAATCAAACCCTTTCATCGTTATCATCCCTTTCAATCAGGAGCAAGATAATCCAATCGAAGAATCAATATACGTTTACGAAAATCGAACTTTGGGGAGTATTTTGAAGAAAAATGGCGGGCGGGCGGGCGATAGTAGAGGTAACAATGCTTTATGAACATATTGATGAAATCGATAGCCATTTATAAGGTTAACCTGTTATTTTAGGCAAAAAGCCCCTACCTTAACTATATATAATGTTATTAACAAAGTAGCTGATAGTTTGACCATCAACAAATCAATCTTTATCCCATCTGTCAAAACCCCCATAAAATTAAAATATTAATCCAATAAAAATATAGAGTGAATCACACTTTTGATCTATGTATGTGGTCCTTCTTTAAAATTAATTACAGATTTGTGTTTTACTTTTCGTTAACAATAGTCCTGTTAACTTAAGGAAGCCCATTTTGATCCCTTTATTCCTATTTTTATTTATTAAAAAACTATTTTCTATAAACCCCATGGATGGAACAAGTCTTCTTATCTCCATCTTTCCTTCCTTTAGAAAAGGTGAATCTTTCCTTCCTTTTGGGTGTGAAATCCATAGAAAATCTTTTTTCTTTCGTTAGCATTTGACTTTCATCTCAGATCTGCAAATGGGTTTTACCAAATTCGACTTTGATAAGATTTTGTACCCAAATTAATGATGTTTGGAGTTTTTCATGGAAGGTGAGGTTTGGTTAATGTTTTTAGGGTAAGATTCTGCTGGAAATCTCATGTCATATGATGGTTGAAGCAACAACTTTAACAACTCAAAGGGTTGGGGTTGGGGTTGAGGGTTTCTGGTACTTATTAATTGTGTCACCAAAATTGAAAATTACTTAAAATATTTTTTTTTATTGAAATTTGTTATTTAAATATAATCAAAAGTAAACGCAACGCCAGAAAAATATTTGTATTTATCTTCTTTCATATTCAAGTCGTCGCAGCAATGTCGTCGGAAGGCACCATCGGACTTCCACCGGAGATCGTCACCTGCATACTCCTTCGTCTTCCGGCCAAGTCTCTTGGCCGATTCAGGTGCGTATCAAAGGATTGGCTATCTCTAATTTCAGATCCCCAATTCATCAAAACTCATCAAAGTACCCACATCCGAAATCACCTCATCTTCGTCTCCTACGATCATTCACTCTATTCACTCCCATTTCATCACCATGAACCAGCAGCACTAGTACCAAGGCCCAAGAAGCTTCGTTTCGACTTACATCATGTCGTCTTCACCCTCTACGGTTGTTGCAACGGCCTTGTTTTGGTATCTGCTCATAACTTCGATGGTCTTCATTCGCTCGTCATTCTAAACCCTACAACTAGGGAAATCATGGAATTGCCGGAATCCAATTACGAGGTAATAAGTAATCGGTCAGAAATCGAAATCGTGTATGGATTTGGGTATGATTCCTTGACTGATGATTACAAGGTTGTTACCATATCTTACTTTCATAATCACCATCTCATTCCTCCTGATACTATGTCTGTTCATGTTTATAGCCTTAGAACCAATACTTGGAGGTGGGTAACTGATTCTCCTTATGATTTCTCTTATGGGAAATTTGTGTCGGGTGTTTTTCTTAATGGGTTTCTTCATTGGATTGCTAAAAAGGGTTCTGATTCCTTACCAGTGACTGTTGCTTTTAGTTTAGCAGATGATACATTCATTCAACTGCCATCACCCAATTTGTGTAATGATGTTCATATCATGTCTAGGAATGATTGTAAATTGGTTGTTCTTGATGGAAAGCTTGCTATTCTCATGGATGATGAGATTTGGTTGATGAAACAATATGGGGTAAGGGAATCTTGGACAAAGATTTCAATCCATGGACTTGATGGAATTCCAATGGTTGAACCAATGTTTTTAGATGAGAATGGCAAGATTCTGTTGGTTAGCAGAAATCTCATGTTGATGTGTGATGTTGAAGAAAGAAGTTTATGGCAAAGTGTACATACTTCTCAGAATCTGAAAGATTTGAAGCTTAGAGGAACTTACATCGAAAGCCTTGTTTCGCCAAAATTCAGCATCTGAAAGAGGTTTAATAACCACCAATAGAATTTAGCGCATTCGAGCACAGATACATGCCCAGAATTTTGTATAGATCTATTTGAAATGAAATTGTTGTTGACATCTTTGTGGGATTATGCTGTAATTGAATGTAGTTGAGTTTTGGGATTCTTCTATGGATTTAGGATTCACTCTGGCCTGCTGCTTTCTGCATATTCTTGATGAAATGGAAAATGTGTATGCAGCAATAAAAAATCCCATAAACTAGTTCTCAAAAGCTACTTCAAGTAGGTTTTCAATAAGCTATAGGGTTTCTGTTTCTTTTTCGTATTATGCCAAATTTGTATTTTTCTGGCTATTTTTTCAACAAGGCATTTGAGATCATTTTACATTGTTATCCAACTTATTATCTAGTTTATCGGCTAATAACTTACTTATCAGCAAAAGCTAGCTTATTGATCCACATGACTCCTACATAATATGAAGGAATTGAAATGGTCAGTAAATTCCATTTTTTATTATTCCATTTCAATTCATAAAGCTAGATTTTGTAAACGAAACAAACATATTCCAATTCATTTGACAGACTACATTTCATTTCCTACTAACCAAACACTTGGTCAAATCTGATAGGTAACATTCTATTTAAATAGATCCAATTCCTTCAGAAAACCCATGAAATGCCTAGCTCTCTTTGCATTTGTAAGATTTCATGTATAAGAACTGCAACCAGCAAGTATCCAAATATTGCAAAATTCTGAACATAACAGCAGAACAAAAGATTGCATCGGTTTCCATATACATTATAAATGGGTACGGTAGTGCAGAATCAGTCACATAAAGGTATTAATTATGCTAAAAACACAAGCAAGAACCATTTTAAATGGATGCATTACCTACGGTGGTAGCTCACAAAGATGGTAGACATGTGTGCATCAATTAACCCCCCGCCTCAGGTGGTACGCAACAATGTGTATATGATTAGGATTCACGGAAACCAGCAGAGATTTCGGGCTTATTTGTGTCACCATCTAGAAACTCGGATCTTAACTTCATGAGAAGCCGTCCTAAATAATTGAGGCCTTCGCCATCTCGGCCTCCACCCCAGAAGAGATCGTGAGGAGAAGCTTCAACGAGTACACAGCCAGCTGTCAGTAGAAGCATCGAAGTCAAGTGTGGGTAAATTGAGAACTTGCATCTCAATGCCTTGTACATCACCTCCGTTTTCACGTTTTCCCAGTCGGACCTAACCTGCATAACCAAGGTGTATTACCAACATCTCCAAGAAAAACCTCAAATCGAGTTATTGACTTCTTGAACCATTTTACTTGATTTTTCATTGCAAATTAATATTGTAAAGAAAAGACTACACTTAGTGGAATAAAAGATTAAATCAAATAAATTCGGTATATCTCATGGAGGTAGAGTCTGGGGAGAGTAGGATGTAGGCAGAACTTGCCTCACCCCATTATTTAAACAAACACCACTACTGCACAACCTATGCTACTTGAGGAAGCTCTAATATTATCATTAATGCCCAAAACACAAACATACACCAAGCCTAAAGATCACATATCGGACCTTTTATTACCAAAATCCGTAGAATGAAAAACCCTTATGGCCTAACAAGTATGCCACCTTGAGGTAGTCATTTGTAACTTCATTCCAATACATATGATATAAAAGAATGGTGAACCACGCAATAATAACCCTAAAGTTTTTGTTCCCTATATAGATTATATTTTAGAAATACGAGTTTCTTGGTTGCATATTTATAGTGCTCACATAAGTCTTAACTTGAAACTTGGAAACTCATCTTTTACCTTCCTCATATTGAGTTGAATTTGGAAGTTGACTCAAATTAAGAAGTGTGTGGAAGGTATACCATATCTGGGTGTTCCCTTTGTATTTTCCTTCCTGTTCGTGCTGCTTCTTCAGGACTTTTTGCCAAATATATTGCTTCAACATAACTTCTTGCATTTGGATTGCTCGAGCCCACAAACTTGTGTGCCTGCATTTAGGGAAGAAAAAAAAAAGCTCACATAGCATCATATGGATCATACAGTGAGCAGCAACTGGAGCAGATCTGCACATAGAGGAAAATCACCTGATAATAGTGCTCTACACTTGGCCAAGTGACATAATCACCCCTTTCATCAGGCAGTCGAATTGGATGAGGAGAAAAATTGGAAAAACTACCGTATGGGTCCCATGTCTTATAGAAGAATATGATTGGTGAATCATAAGGAGATAAGGATGGATCAATTGCTGAAGTTTCGTCAACCGATGGAATAACAGGTACCAAATCAGGAATAGGATGCAGATATCCACTAATAAGCACATCAGGTCCTATCTGCAATTTTTAGTTAGGAGTTCATCAGAACATATACCATCACGGTTTTAGGAATGCTGCAACAATGTGCATCAGAACATAAGCATTCAAGTCAGATGAAAATCCGGAACAAAAATATTTAGGATGAACGTAATACATGTTATATGAAATAGCTTTTTTCTTTAGGTAGCTTTAACTATGCTTGACACCTATGAGGCTTGGAGCTCTTTTTCCACCAATTTGAGATAACATCATTTGATCTTTACTAATTTTCCATTTTATTAGATCAATATTTAAGGATACATGATGAGCAGATCGGTTTCTTATAAACTAAAATAATTCCTAATTGAATTACAAACGAGGTCATGCACTCTCTCTCTATATATATACACCTTGCATGTTCTACATCAGAAAGCAGTTGAATTCCATGATTACAATATTGGATTGGCAGAGCATAAACATAAGAAAATTTCTAGAATCCTTGGTCAGTTATTCCTATAAGAGAGTAGCTGTCAATTTATAGGTCCTGCTCACAGATTAAATTGCACAGTTCCTTAAATTAGAACTTGAAGAGAAGTCAAGAATGAAAAACTGTGGCTATCTCCTGCGTTACTCAATTTCAGTTTTATGAATGCTGCAATAACGTGCAAATCTAAAATGAAGTTCATCTACTTGCTGAAGTACTTCAAGGGTCCCACTGGCTTTTTGGCTGTATGAGTTCCAACCGTTTTCACTGTATTTTTCCTTTTAGTTTAGTTGGTTTCCAGGAATTTTGTTGCCCAATATCTGACGAGATAGATACATGTTTGAGCTTAGTTCCATGCTTTTATGTATTTTTAATTTGTAGTTTTGGTAACAACGGGCAAAAACTGTAGTTTGGTTAGACCCTTGTTTGGAAGAGATTATATTCCATGCTTTTTCTATTTGTTGGCGATTACAATTCCTCTCCCTTAACAGAAATCAAGAAGTACCAACAGGGATGGACCTTCCTATCATAAATAAAGACTTGATTTTTCTAATGTAATCATACCAACCTGCTCATAACAAACATCAATTAATTCCAAAGCCTGTGTCATTTCAACCATCCCAAGTTCCCCAACCGGTGAAGGTGCATTCTTTCCACCAATTATCTTTGGAGCAACAAATGCATGCACCTGCATTAGCAAATAATGTACATGATTGGTATCAATAAATGCAAATAAATGGTGAAAATGCATGACTAAGGAAAGATGTGCATTTGTGGTTATTCCATAAAGCAAACGGTATTTGCTGTTATATCTCCACGATGGAGAATATAAGAAACAAAAACTACACACTAGCTTCAAAAAGAGTAGCATGCATTAAGCAACAGCTTATCCAGATGGTTGGTCAGATACATTCAATAAAAAAACGAAATTAAAAATACATGTGCAACCAGTTGCATGCATGGATTATTCAAATGCAGGAAGTTATCCAAAAGGGAATAGTGAATTATCAAGAGATAATGGCGGAGTCATAACATCAGCGGGCTATTTAAGAGAATAAACAGGTTCTTTTAAATGCATGACCTTCTGATAGATTTAAGAACGTCTCTGCCTAATAATTGAATACCTCTTCCAAACACAAGAATGCCTCAAAACCTGTCAGAAGAATGTCATGCATTTGATTAAAAAAATCTATCACAAGGTTATTCTCCTGAATACTCTTGTATTAACCCTCTCATTTCAGAAATATAAAGAGAACAATTCACAACCAATTAAATTAATTTACCACTAAATAGGAGAACAAATGACTCTGTAAGCATATTGACTCCATTTAGCACATTTAGTAGAACAGATGGAGCTTCAGGATTAAACAGTATATGACTTCAATGACACACCTTGTGTATGACACCAGAGGAAATAGCTGATGCAGATAATGTCCCTCCACACTCCCACAAGAGGGAAAGATAACCACGATCATAAAGGTAGTCCACAACGTCCTTAGGGTTCAAGATATCAAACTCCACTACTTCAACACCTTTAGATGCAAGAAATTTTTGGAAACTCCTTCTTGCACCTCTCTGAGTGACGACTATTGTGGCCACATCTCTGACATCCCAAAGATTTGCAACCTCCGGAAGATCAAGTGTTTGCGACATAACAATTCGCATAGGCAAATGTCCACCTCCATGTCTTGGAGTTAAACGTGGATCTATATTTAAAAAAAATGTAATGAGAAACTATCAAGGAGACTTTCACAATACACAGGAATTATAAATAGCATAAAGTTCCATACTATCATTGCGTACAGTATTTCCTCCTACAATAACTGCATCACTTCTACCACGTAATTCAAAAACTCGAGATCTTGACTTTTTGCTACTTATCCATGATGCATGTCCACTACTCGCAGCTATTTTTCCTGTCAGAATATGGGGAATCAGTGACATGTTTATTTGAAGAACTTAGCTCAACTCCATACCAGCAAAGAGATCATTTTTTATCAGCCTTGTTAGAGAGTGAAATTCAAAAAATTTGGAAGTATATATTCACCGTCAAGGGTCATTGCATACTTCAGAACCGAGAATGGAACTCGAGAAGCTGATCTATATAGCAAAGGAGCATTGACAAGGAGACAGGATTTTAGAGCATCCTAGAAAAATACAATATACATTAATATATTATAAGGGAAAGAACATAGGCATACATCAAGGAAATTAACAGACTGAAAATTTCAGCAACGTCCACAATACCACAAATGTAAGACACTAAAAATAAAAAAACAAAAAGCAGCCTCCAAAGTTGTTAAAGGCTCAAGGCGCACTCAGGCGCAAGGGGTCCCAGGGCCTAGGCCCAAGGCATAGGCATAGGCGTAGGCGTGAGGCATAGGCGGAGGCGTGAGGCGTGGGCCTGAAGAACGCGAGGCGCATCTTATCAATATGTATGCACACACATATACATACACACACAATTACCCACAAGTCAAATATGCAACAAGTACAAGCCTCCAATGCAGCAACCAAAAGTACTTTGATAGAGGAAAAAGGGTTTAAAGCATGAGCCGTGAAGGAGAAGTTTTAAGGTATGGGTATTTATAGAGAAGGAGGCTTGAAGTTATAAGGATTGAGTATTTAATATTTTGGGTTTGACTTAAATCATCTATTTAGTAACTCTTATTTATGAAGTCTAGGAGATGAGAGAACTTGTTTAATCCTAGGGTTTGAGTTTGACTATGTATTTAGTAACTCTTTATGAGGCGCGCCTAGGCCCACAAGGTGCCTCAACCAAGGAGCCGTGCCTTAGTTAGCCTCGTGAATAACCCGAGCCTCGACTTGAAAAAAGCCCAAGACCTTGAGCCTCAGAGCCTAGGTGCGCCTCAAGCGTGCTTTTAGCATATGCTTCAATGCTCCTCCGCTTAGCAAGGGTTTTTGGAGTGAAGTTGTTGTCCACATCCTTTCCCTTGCATTTCATCCAACTTGCCTGATCAATTATGCTTTTGAGCGATCTACCCTTTCACCCTAAGAAGCATATGTTGCCGATTCGGTGTTAAACTATCTGTTTCAGGTCAAGTTTATCTATTTCCCAATATCTATTTAATAACATGGATGAGTAATATCACAAGAAAGTTGGCTATGATGACAGATTTTTCTCTCTATGTTCTTATTAATTGACGAATACAGTGTTTATATGCTGGTTGTTAAAATCAATGTGGAGTGTCCTATTGGAAGGTCATTCTCTTGATAAGCAAAGATAATAAATCTTGTAGCAATCGTCCTATCAGTTCCTTTATCTTCACATGTTGCTACTAATTACTGATCATCTTAGGATAACAAAACTTCTCTGGTCGGGAAGAGGGCTAAGACACCATAAGTTTGCCATTTATAAACACGGAAAAAACAGAGTTAATCACATAGGGAATACTAATGATGATAATAATATACCTCAATGGAGACACTTTGAATATCTTCCCCAAGAACATCAACCTGCAGTCCTTCACTTCTCAATGCCTGAACAGCTTTTCCCCGGAGATGTTGCAATGGATGCCTGATGCCAATAACAACTCTAGCAATTCCTGCCTAAGGAAAGCCTCAGATGCATGTAAATTGGAAGTAATACTTTGCATTAAATATGAGTACCAAGTCTTGTGACCAAATTCCTGTAGCTGTATATGATGATAACAGAAAGAAAAGGAAGATAGCAAACATCAACAATCATCATATTTCTATTAAGAAGCTGAACTCAATTATTATTTCCCATTGCCAAACGGAAGGTTATTTCGTCTAGAAGAAAATTATTCCAGGATGATAATGCAATCCAAGTAAAGACCCTTTTAGGAACTGTAACAATTTGTGTAAAATCAGTTCTTCGTGTGATGCTTTTACTTTTAATTTCAATTGAATATCATTTCACCATTCATAAACAATTATTCCCAAAATTCAAGATTGTATTCGGGATAAAAAGTACACAGTACGCTGTACACAAACATAATGAAACTTCAACTTTTCATAACGAATCAAAAGCAAATGCAAAAATACCTTGATAAAAGCAGATAAAGCGGTGAGGTCCCCATCGCAGTCTCCAGGTTCCATGTTGACATAAGCAGTGGCGCCTCTGCAATACTCTCCAGCGGTCTCCACCGCCTGAACCTCAGCGGGCTTCGTTCCTTGCCCGTAAAGGTAACCTTCTCCGACCACTTTCCCGGCACTTGCACTTGTTGCTATCACGCAACCGAAGTTAGGATGCGGCGATGTGAAGCCGGCAGACTTATCAGACAGCTCGGCGGCGCGTTTCACATATAACGCATCAAGCACATGGTGGTGATTGTTGTAGTTGTAGTTGTTATTGATTATAGGTGTGACCTTGCACTTGATTGGGGTAGCAATCCCCATTGCCATCGCCATCGCCATGGCAGGCAGATCAGAGATGAAGAGCTTCTGAGGCGGTCTGAGGGATTAATCCTTAAACTATCCAATATTTGCTAAAAATACCCTCTTGTTTCATAATCTTAAATTTTATACACCAAAACCAATGGAGTAGACCATGTTATGTGCAAATACAATAGCTTGTTGTCCATAAAGTTATATGGAGGCATAAATAATGCTACCAAATCATGAAACTCAAAACAAAATATACACAATAATGATTATTACTTAAATAAAGGCGTGAAAATCAAAATTGTTAGACATCACAAATCCGATTATCTAAATCTATATTTATAGTATATTATAAAACATTTGACAAAAACTACTTTTTATGCGTAAAATATTGTTTATTAATGCATATTACTTAAAACTTAACATTGCATATAGATTGTGCGTAAATACAATTTATTAAAGCTCCATATCTGAATTCGTGTAACTAACTGCAGATAAACATAATCAAATACAAAATAAACATCTCATTTTAAATATAAAAAAATCTAAAATACAATTAAGATAATTATTGAGTTCTAATAGAATATTTAATTATTATCTTTATACAAAAATTATATTATTAAACCAAATATTATTTACTTCGTTATTG